AGCTCTTCCTCCTCCCATTTTCTCTTGATACCCGTCATCGTAGGCGCGACGTCGATGGCGTCTCGTTTATTCGTCTCGCGTTTGATCGCGTCTCGCTCGATCTCGTCTAGCTCGGCGCGTTCGGCGATGCGCCGCAACGGTTCGACGATCGGCTTAAAACGGCTCTCCATAGCGATCTCGTTCTTCATTTTGCCGGTTTTCAATGCTCTGTGTTTTCTACGAATAAACGCTCGCGTCCGAGCGATCTCTCTCGCCGTCTTCTCTCGTTCGCCTCCTGTTTGTCGCATGCTACATCGTCGAACACGATTATCGAGTTCGGGAGCGCCTCGCTAGGTGGAATAACATCAGAGTTGTTGGAAAATGTAAAATAACCAATATCTTCCATTGGTGTTAAAAGATTTTCCAAATATTGATACTTAGGCTATTGCAACGACTTCGAGTAGACGTAAACGTTCTCGAAGCGTATGCCATGCGGGCTCTCTAGCATACTTATCAACGCGTTCGTTTTACCACAATTAGAGGGACCGCAAACGACGCAGCGAATGGCGCTCGGCAGCAGGCGACCGTGTCTGCGCGTCCCCGCGTTATTCGGCGTTCGCGTTCTACCGTCGAGATTTGACACTCTTATCGCAATCGGTTGCCGTACGAAACGCATCTCTCTATCATTGCGCGCGTGCGCGACACACTTGCGCGAAACAGGTGCTACTTTTTATTTATATACGAATTGATCGTCATCGATCGTGCAGTAGCGAATCGCGCGCGATAGATCGAGATGTTTCCATCGAGCAGTTGCGGTTTATCCCGAAGATAATTTTGCTAAAGCACTTCGGTTGCTACGTGGAAGAATTGTGGAAAAAATTGTCCGAACATATAAGAGCGGACTCGGAAGTGCAGCGCTACCGCCGATGCCTGAAACATTACAATCGTCCTTGGCAACGAACGCACATCGACGGCCCGGCACCGCTCGTTAAAGATTGCGGCGAATGCAATTCGCGAAGCGGCGGAACGGTGTGACCGGCGATATCGGCGGCACTGGTTTATTAAACAGAGCGATAAACGTGCTTCCTTTCGAATTGCACATACCCGGCTATCAATTCTGCGGACCGGGCACCCATCTCGCGAAACGACTCGCGCGAGGTGATCGAGGTATTAATCCGCTAGACGCGGCCTGTCGCGAGCACGACGTCGCGTACTCGCGAAACGACGATCTCGCTAATCGACGCGTCGCCGATAAAGCGCGCGAGCGCTTCGCGGCGAAAGACTCGACTTTCGGCGAAAAAGCCGCCGCGATGGCCGTATGGGTGGCCATGAAAGCGAAAACGAAACATGGAATGGGTATGGCTGCGAAAACCATGAGGAAGAAGAGCAAGAGGAAAGTAACGACGTCTACAAGGAAACGAACGCTTCCCGTAGCAAAACGCGGTGGTTTTTTACCCCTACTACCTGTCGTTACCTAACCAATTTCTCAATATATTAAAAGATAAAACAATAAAATTAAACAGAAAAGATTAAGAAAGAGCTGAGTAAAGCAATGCATTAAAATTAGAAAAGAGATCAAAAAAAGATAATTAAGAAATTAAGAAGTAATAAAAGATTATTAATAAAATAAACTTATTTCGAGCGTGGATCCTAATCCTTTGGGCGTATAAATCCCTAAAGACCTCTTCCTTAGCGGCTAGAGGCACAACATTAATTGGTGGCAGCGGTGGGATACGCCAGCTCTAACAAGATCGACACCGGCAAAGGTCCACAACCACGAGGAAGAAAAATTCCGTGGAATCGACAGAACGAGAGACAGCAAAGGAAACTCCGTCAAACGGTCAACAATTACAACCGAGGAAAAGGAAGTCCATCAGGAACTTCGAGTCACCCGGTACATCGAGGCGACAACGATAAGCGGAACCTGAGAAGGCGCACCGACCTATCTCAACAGCACGCGACGATCGACGCCCGACGGCCGACACCGAACGAGAGACAATGCTGCTCATCGTATTTTTGTAAGTCGAACAATTAAAAATTTGTAAACGCGTGAATGTCGGAAAACCGAAACGCGCAACAAAAAAGCGTGGCGAATAAATCGTGGCTATTTAGCGAACCAGCGAATAGAGCCATTAGAAATAGCGCAGTAAGCCCTATAAGAGTAGCAGTAGAAGCACTCCGGGATATACGCGATAACGTACGAAGAAATCTAAATGAATTAAATTCAAGCGAGAATTTGTCCGAACCAGAACTCGGAGCAAACGTTGTAATCGAACGCGAATTTTTATTCGGCGAATTAGACAACAGTTTAATAGCGAATAATATAGAACTAGATGTTGATGTCGAATCATCAATAAGCGCGTCTAGTAGACTAACACACCGCCGCGAATTCTCACTAACGTCATACGATTCAAGTATCTTTGACCCCGACGAAATCTATCGTACTCGAGACATGTATAATTCAAACACTTCCGCATCGCAACCCATCACATCGGAATATATCGATGAGGGAATTAAGCGTTTACAAGAAGAAGCAAATAGAAACGCGACACAATCAAACGCGCAAGCTCAAGCAGCCGACGACCTTAGGGACATATTGCGGGAAATGAGACGGGAAATGAGACGGGAAATTAGAAGTATGCATGCCGAGATATACGATTTAAAAATGAGAGGATCGCAACCCCGACAAAACAATGAGCATAGAACTCCGCCGGGAGAAAGAACCGAAACCGCGTACGAGTCCATACCCGAAGATGTACGACATCGAAGAGGACGCGGATTTTTACCATTAAAAGAGGCTCGCGGAATGATTCCGGAATTCGACGGATCGCCAAATAAATTACAAGAATTTCTAAGTGCGACTACATATGCAGTAGAACATATCGACCCGTTAGATGAAGTAACGCTATTAGGAGCAGTATTATGCACGAAATTAAAAGGCAGAGCGATGCTAGACTTTCAAACGCGTAAAATTCGAGATTTCGCATAGTTGAAACGAGAATTAAAGATCTGTTACGCAAGTAAAAAGAGTACGACCCATGTACAAATTGAATTTAACACGCTAAAACAGAAAAACGGTGAAAGCGCGCGAACTTACGGACTTAGAGCAGACAAACTAGACATGGAGCTATACGAATCGATGATGGAAGGACGTCATGGATTCCCTACGCGATGTTTACGTATAATATGACACCGCACACGGCGACAGCGTTCGCACCCTTCGAATTAATTTACGGGCACCGAGCAACATTACCGACGACATTGTCGCAACCGCCTAAGCCCACGTATACATACGATGATTACGCGCAAGAATTGAAAGAAAAATTACGCGCCTCACAGCAAGTTGCAAAGAAGCATCTAAAGAACGAAAAAATAAAAACCAAAGAAAATTATGATAAAAAGACTAAAGAAATCAAACTCAAGGTAGGAGAAAAAGTCCTCTTGTACGACGAAACAGTTCGCCGAGGACGATCAAAGAAATTGGACTCCCTATGGACCGGACCCTATACGATAATCGAAAAAAATTCGGAAGTGAACTACACAATAAAAAGGGGAAGGAAAACCATACGCGTCCACATAAATCGATTAAAACCATTTATCGAAAATTAAAAAAGTAGGAGAAAGAAGAAAAAGAAACAGAAAAATGCGCGAATAAAATAAAAAATAGAATAAATAATAAGGAACAGAAATAAAAAATTCCTACCTTAACGTCCTCCACTTCCACGTCCAGCACCGCGACCCCGGTTCCACTCCCGCAGAGCCTGAAGAAGAGGCGACACAGGACGAGGCTCGGGGTTGAGGAAGACAGTTCGCCGAGGGCGATCAAAGAAATTGGACTCCCTATGGACCGGACCTTACACGATAATCGAAAAAAAAATCGGAAGTGAACTACACAATAAAAAGGGGAAGGAAAACCATACGCGTCCACATAAATCGATTAAAACCATTTATCGAAAATTAAAAAAGTAGGAGAAAGAAGAAAAAGAAACAGAAAAATGCCTTGGATCTCAGCGATGGTGATTACGAACTAGGTCTTACTAATCTTGAAACTTACGACACGGTACCGAATGTAAATTCTACAAATAATAAATTTTACTTCGATGATAACGACGATATTATCGCGATTCCCGTTGGATTTTACGAGTTAAGCGCCATAAGCGCGTATTTGAGAGCCGCGATTCATCGCAAACGACGAGCGAATGTCGCGCGAGAAGCGGAGCGAAAGAAGGGGAACGAAGAACAAAGGACGAGCGACGATGATGACGACGATTATATATATGATGTCGATGACTATTACGAGGACAATGAATACGAGGGTAAATGCGAACGTTCCATAATCCTTCGCGGTAACGATAACACCATAAGAAGCGAGATCAAGTGCGCGTATCGAGTTAATTTTACCAAACCCGATAACATCGGTTCGCTATTGGGTTTTTCATCGTCTCGTATACTACAACCGAATAAATGGTACTCGTCCGACAAACCGGTAAATATTATGGCCGTTAATGTTATTCGCATACAGTGTAACGTCACAACGGGAGCGTACCACAACGATAAATCAGCGCATACGATACATGGATTCGCACCTAACGTTCCACCCGGATATAAAGTGTCGGAGATCCCGGCGCAAATCATTTATCTTCCGGTAATCGCGCGGACCATTACCGATATAAACGAGAACGTACTACGGATGCAATAACGATGAGACGCTCTTAAATCTAAACAAATTTCTAACCCACGGTTCGTTCCTGGTCATCGACTGTTCTCGACAGAACGAATCGATCAAGAGCGCCACTGTGGACGTTCGCGTAGAATTCGACTGTAAAGAGAACGTTCCCTCTAATACCACAGCCTACTGTCTCATTATTCATGATCGAGTGGTGGAATACAATCCGCTTACCAACGTTGTACGCAGAATCGTATAGAGCAATACAGCGATATTTGAAAGACATAGGAGGGGATAAAGCGTTTAAAAAGAAAGGACAGATAAGCGAACATTCCAACTTCGACTAACGACGGCGATGGACGACGATCGCATCAAGATCGAGACTCACACGTATAATCCTTATGCTAATACAACGTTTGGAAATAGCGACGAAATACGAATTCCTATACAACAACAAGATCTGTACACGTTACCGTGCGAGAGTTTTCTGTACATCGAGGGCAGACTCGAGTCGAAGAAATCGTCGAGCGCGGAGGAAGAAAGCGCGTTGACGACGAGATTGGTGAACAATTGCGCGGCGTTTATGTTCGAGGAGATTCGCTACGAACTCGATGGCGTAGAGATCGATCGAAATAGAAACGTCGGAATAACGAGTACGATCAAGAATTATGTGTCGCTGACGACCGAGAGAAGCAGTATATTACAAAACGCTGGATGGGACTTCCCGACGACGCTTCATTGGCCGATCGGTGATTTCAACTTTTGCGTACCACTCAACGTGTTGCTAGGTTTTTGCGAGGATTACAAACGCGTCGTGATCAACGCGCGACACGAACTCATTCTGATACGAGCGCGCAACGATAACAATTGCCTTATATCGCGCGAAACGTACGAACCTAAGATCATCTTATTGAAGATACAGTGGCGAATGCCACATATAGTGCTAAATGACGTTAATAAATTGGCGCTATTACGCACGTTAGACAGCGGACGGTATCTAAGCATCGCTTTTCGTTCGTGGGACCTCTACGAGTTTCCGCTTCTGCAAAGCACGACCAAACACTCGTGGGCGGTCAAAGCGGCGACGCAGCTCGAGAAACCGCAATACGTTATCTTCGCGCTACAGTCCGGAAGGAAGAATGTTCTATCTCAGGAGATTTCTCAATTCGACGATTGTAAACTAACCAACGTCAAGCTATATCTTAATTCTGATTTTTATCCCTATGACGATATGAATCTGGATTTCGAAAAGCATAAAGTTGCCGTGCTGTACGATATGTACTCGAAATTTCGGAGAACGTACTACGGATGCGATAACGATGAGACGCTCTTAAATCTAAACAAATTTCTAACCCACGGTCCGCTCGTGGTCATCGACTGTTCTCGACAGAACGAATCGATCAAGAGCGCCACTGTGGACGTTCGCGTAGAATTCGACTGTAAAGAGAACGTTCCCTCTAATACCACAGCCTACTGTCTCATTATTCATGATCGAGTGGTGGAATACAATCCGCTTACCAACGTTGTACGCAGAATCGTATAGAGCAATACAGCGATATTTGAAAGACATAGGAGGGGATAAAGCTTTTAAAAAGAAAAGATAGATAAGCGAACATTCCAACTTCGACTAACGACGACGATGGATGTGCCGATTTTCGTCGATCTACAAGGCTTTATTGTTAACAAAAGATTTGTCGCGAAAGAAGTAGCCGTGCTAAAAAAAGGCGTGGAATTGACACATCACATCTTCCGCGCCCCGATATCGTGGAATCTGCTGACGAAGGCGGAGAAGTCGCAAGCGAGTTGGCTAACTTTGAATCATCATCAGCTAAATTGGACCGATGGACACGTAAATTATGAATTTATGAAAAAACTCGTTCGGGACGCCATGTGCCGCGAATCAAATCGAGGTTCGACGGTGCGAGTCTACGTCAAAGGTTATGAGAAGAAAAAGTGGCTAGCAGAAATTCTGGGAAACGTCGTCAAGGATCTCGACGTCGCTATCGAGACCATCGACGCCGATTACGAGGACATCAAACGTCTGGAGACTCTAAACGCTTTGCGGGCCTTTCGCTGCGGATATTATGCGAAGAATTGCGCGTTGGAGAACGCTTGCAAATTGCACGATCGGT